TTCGCCAAGTTTCTTGGGTTTAAAATTTGTCATAGTAATAAAATTTGGTACATTTATGAAAATTTGAAATTTTGCAAAATTTTAAAATAGTAATTGATACCTTTTGCTTTGAACTTCAATATCACACCGTTGTTTACAGTTGGAGCGATACTAATTTATTATTTTTTTCTCTACAGATACCAATTTTAATAATAATTCTTCTAATAATGTAGAACATTCTGCTTACAATCTTGACTCTTGTGGTAAATTAAGTATTATTTTGAGAAAAAGTAATCTTCTGATTTATAAGCACGTAACTATCATAATGCTAACAAACTATTGATATCTCCCCTTTTTGCCACAGGTTCTACGATGGTCAGTCTCTGCTTTGGATATACTCAATAACTTTTACTTTTATCTTGTATTATATTGTAAATTATCTCTTGTGGTAAAAATATCTTAAACACAAGAGGTCACGTGATGAAAGAAACTTGTCTGTATCATTCCAAACCTGCAAAAAAAGTTACGCACTTTCTTGTGTTAAAAGTATGGGTTATTGGTTACACTTTTCTATAGAATCTTCCCACACAATCAGGAAAAAATAGGAAAAAAGAACCAAGCTACATTTTATATCATTACTAGCAGTGGAAGATAAGTTGAAGAGACAAGGATATCTACAATTAATCTCGTTAAAGTCAACATTTCGCAAATTCAACGGCCGATACAATTACCTCGTTTGAAAATGCAATCTGATGTTAAGAAGAATGTTGATTGACATCTTTCATGCATATACCCGGTAATTTTGACACTGATTTCCGTTTACCTAATCATGACCGGTCGACAGGGGATGCTTACTCCTCCATGACACCTGATCCCACCTTTGTTTTCAGAGGTACATGCTGACTCTGTTCGTTATCTTCACATTTCATCTAAATAATTTACCTTTATATTAAATCAGTTCTATATGGACAGATTCCTTTACATCCCTTTAGATAATGAATGAATGAATTATTGTAAAAATAAAATTTAGAAAAATATTTTGAAGTTTGTATTTCAGATAATTTATTTTAATGTAATCAGATTTTATTGACCTAATTTTATTTTTGTCTAGTTTAATAAAAAAGATTCAGTCATTGTAATCCTTATTATGCATTCTATTATGATAGCCGCTGATCACTGTGGAGCTCCGAATGAATATTGGCTGAACGGCTTCGATTTAGATGACTCTGGGTCATTTGTCTGGCTGGAAAGTGAAGAAGCAACAAACTACACAAACTGGTATACTGGTAATCCTAGTGATTTCTATGAGGGATGTGTAGTAATATCAACGGCATATTATGGAGTGTGGAATGATATTCAATGCACATCTTCAAGACCAGTTGTTTGTGAAAGAGACGATGGTGACTGATTATTAAGGGGCAATAGAGGTTTTTCTTTACATCAAACAGAATGTGCGTTTATAACATCCAAAAGTTTTCAGACCTCTAGTTTTAGATGAATTCTATTTCCAGATTTGACAAAGTTTAAATTATATTAAAGCGATATCATCATTTCTAACCGAAAAAGCCCAGGTAACATGGAAATATCATGACAATATCTTTGTTAAGATTAGGATTAGACAAACCGTATCAATTTATAAAAGCAGTTGAAAATAATAAAGTTTAAGGGATAATCTTACTTTCTTTTTACTCAAAGGAACAATAATCAAAACTGGATTGTATTGCTCGTCATTTTATATAGATAGACATTAAATGTTACATCGGAAATCCCAAGAAATCTCACTTTGTTGTACATCCTTAAATTACACATGTACCTGTAAAATAAACTTGTGGCATTTTGAAGATCACACCAGAAAAAAAAAATATGGACTGTAACACCTCGAATATCTCAACAAAATTGTGCTCTATGTGGAAAAAATATCAACCCTTTCCAAACTCCTTATACGTAGGATTTAAATTATAAACACGTATGTGCAATTATGACCTGTATTTAACATTACTAAGTGACCTTCCAACAATAGCGTTGAACAAGTATTCTTAAGGATGGATTCTTCTCATATTTCTTATAATGGCAGAATCTTGATTTTCTGAATACTCAATATTCAGACTAATTACACTATTTTAACATCCAAAAACTTTGGTGTCATCGGCCTTGATTTTCAGTCAAGGTCATTTGAAAGTCAGTCCTAAAAATAGTACTTTTACACAGAGAAGTTTTGAAATTTATGCAAATGAATAAATTTTGCTGACTGAAAAAATATCTTTCACCATAAAATTAAAGTTGTTTCTTATTTTTGATGACTAATTCATATGAAATGAGCTGGTGAAAAGATAACATGAAATCCTTTATATTCAATAAATATATTTAATCCGAATTTCCTCGATATTTTTTTTTCAAAATTCTCAGTTTTTATGAATTCACATGAAATTTCATCTCAATTTTTACAATTGACCATATAATGTCAAATATGTAGATTTTTGTCTGATGAATATTCAAAGGTTCAAGATTAATTTACAAGGTAAAAAAGATATAGTAATCTGGCAAATTATCGAAAAAAAATTAGCCCGAATTTGATCAATACTTTCTGAAATCTTCAATTCACAGAGTGTTTTAAATGTCTATAAAAAAGATTTTTAATCCCCAAAAACATATCAATTTGGTGTAATTGTAACATACATACATTCATTTCTACCAGTTATACATTCTATTTTTATGGTATTTTACACTAATGATATTCAAAATATTCATTTCGAATTTCCTCTGTCATTTTATTCCTATGAATGTTATGTTTGACAATTTTATAAAATACATCAATTTTCTAGTGGCAATTACAGAAAAATTATCACATACATTCTTCACATGCACAGGACTTATTCAAAGCAACTTAACCTTTAATAAAACCAGGAATAAATAATAAACCTTCCAAAAAGTTATGAGAAAAATCATACATAAAATTTTTATAGACTAGAAAAGATTTCATTACATTATTTATGACATAAACATGAAATCAATATACATGTATAGTGAACATGCCATTCAAAGCTTAATATATGAATATCAGAGGGACTAATATAAATGCCTATACATGTATATGTAGTTATATACATATAGGTCCCTGGTATTATGTTATGATTGATATTTTACATTTGTAAACTGAGTTTTGAAAACAACAAGCAAATTCAAAGAATTGTGGTCCCCCGCTTTCGATGTCTTAGTGGATGGGATGCCATTATTTATGGCATATTTTAACTGTCTTGTTTGTTTGTCCTGTCTTATCTGTGCATCATACAAAAAAAAACATAAATTATTGAATTAATAACAGTTATGGCAAAGACTATAGCTTCTCAAAACTACATCAAACTTCAAGATCAAGGTCATGAGGTCAAATATCATAATAAAATCCAAAAGATCTTCTCACAAGTGATGCACATGTAAAAAAAATATCAGAAACCAGAGTATACAATAAGAAAGGTCTTGAAACAGGTAATGCACATGTCAAATGTAAATACCATATCTTCTCTCAATTAAATGTTATTAGCAATGATAAACTTTTTAAAAATTAGGTCAAACTTCAAGGTCAAGGTCATGGGATTAAAAATCATAGTACATTTCGAAATGCTTGTCACAGGTAATGCACTTGTCAAATATGAATGCTCTATCTTTGCTCCTTCAAAAGTTAGCAAACTGATGAAATGTTTGAAAATTAGGTCAAACTGGAAGGTCAAGGTCACAGGGTCAAATATCATAGCATATTCAGAAACATTTTGACACAGGTAATGCACTTGTCAAATATGAACACCTATCATATGTCATTCAAAAGTAATCACCAAATATAAAATTTTTGAAATTTAGGTCAAACATGAAGGTCAAGGTAAAGGGGTAAAAAATTATAGCATGCTTGGAAACACTTTGTCACTACTAATGCACATGTTAAATATGAAAGCCCTAACTATTCTAAATCAAAAGTTATAAGCAAAGATAAAAATTTTGAAAAGTAGGTCAAACTTCAAGGTAATGGTCATGGGGTCAAAAATCATAGTACATTTGGAAAAGTATTCTTACAGGTAATGTTCATATTTAATATGAAAGCCCTATCTTTTCTCATTTAAATTTAATGACCAATTTAAAGAAATGTTAATTTTTTGAAAAGTAGGTCAAACTTCAAGGTCAAGGTCACGGGGTCAAAAGTCATAGTATAATTTCGAAAGGTCTTGTCACAGGTAATAAACAGGCATAATATGAAAGTCCTATCTTTTCTCATTCAAAAGTTATGACCAATTTAAGGTAATGTTAATTTTTTTGAAAGTAGGTCAAACTTCAAGGCCACGGGGTCAAAATTCACAGTATATTTGGAAAGGTCTTGTTACAGGTAATGTACATGTGAAATACAAAAGCCCAATCTCTTCTCACTCAAAAGTTATGGCCAATGTTAAAGTTTTTGTGACAGACAGACCGACAGATGAATGAGATTTAATGTCCCCTCTCTTTCGCAAAAGCGAGGGACAATAAATACCTACACACATTTATAAGTATATAGTTTGTTCAGCACCAATAAATATAACTCCTCATTGTGATCACAACAACTTTGACCCGTTGACCTTGACCTTGGAGTTTGACCTACTTTTGGAAAACTTTAACCTTGGCCATAACTTTTGAACGGTTGATGCTAGGGCTTTCATACTTCACATATGTAATCCTTGTTGTTGTTTGTTTGTTTTTTAATACTAAATTTGACTTTTGATTACTCCATGTACCTGATCAATACACAGAGCTCACGGCGGGTGTGACCCATTGACAGGGGATGATGTGGCACCTGCTGCCATCTCTGGAATTTCCAAGGATCTGTGTTTTGTGCCCTGTTAACAGATTTGTATTGTTTGTAGATTTTCTTTTGAGTTCATTCGATCACTATTCGTAATCTTTACCTCTTTCACTTTAAAAATTGAGCAACAATCCAAAAACTACTGTAAAAGTGGTTACTTACGATTGGGGGAAATTTACACTACTTACGCGCGTACGGTCACAAAATTTCAAAGCTCTTGACTCATTGTAGACTATTACTAATACTATTAGACCGGTCGAACCAGTCGTATATTAATTGTGGTTTGAACGCACTTGAGTAGATAATTAGTATATTGCTTATTTTCAAGCGAAAATTAGTTCGTTCTGCTTTCAATTATGTAACTCGCGCTTCATTTATTTTATTTGGATTGAAAAAAAAAACCAGACAAGCGAAATGCTTGTATAACAAATAGCATTCCGATAAAAACTTACAAAACGGAATTTACACGTTTCTTAACGCACGATCACGCACGATTAAAACCGCAAACGATTGAGTCTGATACACGCACGATCTCGCACGTTACACGAACGATCACGCACGTTACACGAACGATTCTACACGATTGGTTTGTCAACAATAACGTTGCAACCACTGTATGACTTTCATATTTCACATTGTATTCCTTGTGACAAGACCTTTCTTTGGGTATCATCATATTTGACCTTTTGACCTTGGAGTTTGACCCACTTTTGCAAAATTTTATGAGACTTTACCCTTGGCCATAACTTCTAAACAGTTAGTGCTTGGGGTTTCAAACTTCACTTGTGTATTCTTTGTGACAAGGCCTTCCTTTGGATACCAACAACTTTGACCTTTTGACCTTGACCTTGGAGTTTGACCCACTGTTGAAAAACGAACGTTAACCTTGGCAATAACTTTTGAACATTCGGTGTTTGGGGTTTCAAACTTCACATGTGTATTCCTTGTGACAAGACCTTCCTCTGGATATCAACATCTTTGACCCTTTGACCTTTGACCTTGACCTAGGAGTTTGACCCACTTTTGAAAAACTTTAACCTTGGCCATAACTTTTTAAATTGTTTGAGCTAGGGCTTTCATACTTCACATTGTGACAAGACCTTTTTTAGGATACCAACCACTTTGACCTTTTGACCTTGACCTAGGAGTTTGACCTACTTCTGAAAAACTTTAATGCAAGCTCTTTGTCATGATCGGGAAATAACGGGAAAATCCGTAGACAATTTAGTAATTGTAAATAACGGTCTAACAATTAGTATGAAAAACGTCAACCAACAACCAATATGAATTTGAATTTCCATATCTATATTGAATTCCAAAACATCAAAAAATCTTTACAAAGAAAGATACATAGCGGTTTCCAGTAAATGTTCTACCAAGCCCCTTTCTTTACTCCTCACGAAAATATTAACAGCAGTGAAGGAGCAACTTCAGGAGTACTGTTCAACAATATATTCGAGAAGTGGTGTAAATCAGATGTGGATTCCTTGGAACTTTTGGAAATTTTGAAATCACAAAATTTTACCAAAATCAATAACATCAAAACTTACGACTTTTCAACTCTTTATACAAGCATTCCCAACGATAAATGAAAGCCCAGGCATTTTGAGATCATTGACATCTACTTTTTCAATAAAAATGGAACTCGTAAATTTACTTACCCTCTCATTGGTCATTTGCAAATTATGAATTAACAATAGTTATTTCCATTCTTATGTCGACACGATATATCCCGGTGAGCCTGAGATAAAAGATATCACAGAGTCTGACACATCTGTTTCATATTTGGATATTTTATTAGAAAAAGACGTTAATGGTAATCTAACAACAAAGCTTTTTGATAAACGTGATGACTTTAACTTTTCAATCGTCAACTTTCCTTTCTTATGCAGCAATATACCTTTATCACCTGCATATGGGGTTTATATCCCTCAGTTGATTCGATACGCCAGAGCATGCTCTACGTATGAACAATTTCTAAAACGAGGTAAATTATTGACAAACTAGTTGATGAAACGAGAATATCAGAAGTCTCGTTTAAAGTCATCATTTCGTAAGTTCTATGGTCGATACAATGACCTTGTCAGCAAATACAAGTTATCATTAAGTCAAATGCTGACTGACTTTTTTCACACTAGTTGCTAGGCCATTATTTACACACTGAATTGTCGACGGATTTTTTTCCCGTTATTTCCCGATCATGACAAGGAGCACACGGCGGGTGTGACCGGTCGGCAGGGGATGCTCACTCCTCCATGGTACCTGATCCCACCTTTGATGTCTTAGAGGTCCGTGTTTGCTCTGCTCCTATTTTGTAATGTTCAATGGACTTTTGAGCTCGAATACTGTTCGTTATCTCCACATATTTCATTGTAATTAAAACGTTTGTAAGCAACAATAGTCGATGTATATTTGTAAGAAATACAAGATGTAGTCTTCAACTAAATAAGGAAAGTTGACGATTGAAAAGCTGAAGTTATCTCGTGTGTCATATAGTTTAGTTGTTAGTCGGTCCTTATCGTCTATAGTCAGTAAAACATCCAAATATGAAACAGATGTGGCAGACTGTGTAGTGTCTTGTATTTTGAGTTCACTGAGATATATCGATTCAACATATGAATGGAAGTAATTATTGTTATTTGATATAACGTCGTCGGTATATATGATTGTTGAGTTGAAAGTCACAGCAAGTGTTTTCTTCTTCTCATGCACATGTTTTGAAAGAATAAAATTCTGCTTCATATGAATATTAAAACAGACAGGCTGATAAAGGCGAACAACTACTGCCCATCGCAATTCCAACAGTTTGTTGGAAGTACTGGTCTCCAAAGACATTCTTATTAACGAATGACCATATTGTTTTCAAATCAGTAAAGTCTCAATTTTTTGCATCGGAACTTAAGCCTACCCATGAGTAGATGTAAAATTTTGGCAAACTTTAGTTCGGCGTAAAAATATGCTCTTTAATGAAAGGCAAATCTTTGCGCTAGTCCCTAATTTACACCGGCGTAGAGTTACGACTGGTTGTACGACCTTTTATAAAACTGGCCCCCGGAAACCGTTTCATAAAAGGTCGTATGACCAGTCGTTACTCAAGGACTTAGTCCAGAGACTAAGCGTATGTTTTAAGATTAGGTTTACGCCGCTTCTTGAAACGCAAAATACGCCGGACTAAGTTTTGGCGTACGCCCCAGAACAAGACTAATCTTATGTCCAAAACTTACGTTTGGTCATCTTTGTTAAAAAACAATCAATTTCTACACACAAGTACACTGAAGTTGATATTAAAAGGATGGAGTTCCTCATTGACAACATCTCTAGTCTTTGGAGACTAAGTCTTCCAACAAACAGTTGGAATTTTGATGGGCACTAATTGTGCTTCTTTATTAGCCGACCTGCTTTTATATTCATATGAAGCAGAATTTATTCATAATTATGTTCATGAGAAGAAGAAACACTTGTTGTGGCCTTCAATTCGACATTCACATATATCGACGACGTTTTATCAATTAACAATAGTAACTTCCATTCAAATGTTGACTCGACATATCCCAGTGATCTCAAAATAAAAGACATCAGTGTCTGCCACATCTGTTTCATATTTGGATATTTTACTGACTATAGAAGATTAGGGCCAACAAACAACTAAACTATATGAATAGCGAGATGACTTCAGCTTTTCAATTGTCAACTTTCCTTATTTATGTAGTAATATTCCAACATATGGTGTTTATGTCTCCCAACTGATTTGATACACAAGAGAATGCTCTGAGAATGTTCAACTTCTAAACTGATACAAGCTACAGACAAATAAGTTCGTGTTACAAGGATTTTAACATCCCCGTTTAAATTCAGCTTTTCGCAAATTCTACGGTCGTTATTATGACCTTGTTTTTAAATAAAACTGATCACTGGGTCTTATTTTCTCTAGCATGTTTGATACCATTTTTAGGTCTTTGCTTTCACTAAGGAATATTCCATATACCTGATCAATACATAGGGCTTCCGGCGGGTGTGACCGATCAACAGGGAATTATTACTCCTCCTAGGCACCTGATCCCACCTCTGGTGGCTTAAAGAGTGATGTAATGATGGTACATATTATCTTTCATCAATTTAAGATAACCAAGGGGTCGTTTCATGCAATTATTGTTGCAGAATTAAAATTTTAACAACTTTTTATGTACTAGATCTAGTGCATGATCATTCTATATTTCCATGATAAATCTAATCAAAGCAGGCCTAGGGCGAATTTATGTCAGCCCAAATGAATGTACAAAATTTTGAATACATTCAAAATAATACATACAGTATCTTGTATATCACATAATCAGTTTTTGTTGGAGGGGAAGAAAAAAACCCGGAAATTTTATTACTTGATCATTAGGTTCAATATATACGTATGATCTTATTAAAATTCTGAACGTAATTGCAGCTTAAAATTTCCGCAAACACTTAAAACCAATTTTTTAAATGGATCAATTTTAATTAATTGTATTTTTTTTTTATATAAGTACCCATCGAAATATTTACAATGAATTTATAATTCGTGTTGATGATTGTTCAGTTTGATTATTTTTCCCTTTTTTTAATAAATGTTTATTGATTTAATCGTGGTCCACTATACGAGATCTCTAAAGCATGGAATTATCAATTGATTCATAAGAAATATTTTTTTTTTTGTAATTGGCACATTTATTACAAACGTAAAGGTAAAATAAATTCTTGAATGTAATTTGCCATTAAGCATACCCTTGGTAGTGTTTTACACTTGGGATTTGCTCATCGAAAAAGGGTTTTAAAAATATTTTACTCTTTATTCCAATGAATTCGTGAGCTCTCTCGAATGCTTATTGCTGATATTGTTATGGTCATATCCTTCTATCTAATTTGGAGGAATAATATTAATTTTTTATGAGGAATATATAACAATGAAATTTTGTTTTCTGGTTATTGTGCACTTTGTATTCGCTTACGGATACTTCTTTGAAGATTTCATGACAAATATCCCTCATTTCAACAACAAAGGGACCCAGTCCACGAATATTTTGATTACATTTAATCACCAAAGCTTACTACAATGTGCAGCATTCTGCAAAGACAATGTTCATTGCAAATCTATTCTCTATAGCCCTGAAAAAATGAGTTGTCAGTTGCTTGCAGTACTCTTAGGCTCTGGATATATTTTGAGTGAGCAGGGTTTTCAAGGATGGATTTACTTTCAATTTGGTAATCAAATTTCTCAATCAAGTTGAATTCGTTATCAGGACATATTTAATTTTAATTATTTCATAATTTTACTTACATCTTATTTCGTTTATGAAAGTTTATAATTTCATAATTCGAAAAATTTTATTGATTTATCCTAGATGTCCCATATATAGAGAATACAGAAACGGTGTTAACAGCAGAAATCTCCATGACTACCCCATTTGGTAAGTGAATTAGTATGTTGTATATTGTAACATATCTTTTTTTTTTAAAAAAAAGAAATAAGAAAAAGGGGCCACTTTACCAGCTTTTCACAGGATCTAGAAAATAATTGATATGTACGAGGGTTGTCCCAAAAAGTCGTAGACAATGTTTATAACTTTGTAAACAATCAACCAATACTTACCAAATTTTGCATAGCCATAACTCAGTCAATGTTCCTTAAAATAGTGCATTTTTAAATACATATCTTTTATAGTAATCGTACTATGACGATTTATAGGAAGGCCGATATGGTCTGTCGGCGCACGAACAAAATCCGGAATAATTTACGCATGTAACTATTCCAATTGCACTTGTTTCTCTGGTAAAATGTAAAACATCAAACCAAAATTTATATCAGTGTAAACAGAAACAAAATTTTAGTATTGTGTCAAATTTGCACATCAACAGAGAATTGCTGTCAGTATTTTCAAAACGTCAAACGTCTTAGCGGTGCAGGGATATGTATTAAATTTGTTTCAAATGTGGTTTGTCCACTTCAGAGACGAAAAAATGATACAGAAGTGACATAACAAACTAGAACGCTAGTAGAGAAGTTTTTTTTAATGGTATAAGAGATTCTAGGACAGTTTTTACCTCCGTCCCGAAAATAGTTACGCCTGAAAGATGTAGAGTGTTGTTTGTTAAATTCAGACGGTGAGGAACGGTATGGGCCACGATCGATGTCAATTTTTGTGTTTTCTCTGCTACCTACGTGTACCTTTCGAGGACTGATATTTGAATCGGATTAAAAAAAACCTATGGACATTGGTCAGTTTTACTGAGTCCCTCAATCAGCAGTGGTTTTCCACTTGAAAAAATAACGAGAAGCTTGTTAGAGACGCTTGTTAAAACACGTGACAGTATGCTTAAAAATGATCACGACGTTATAAGATACGTAAATTACGTTTGCTTTCGTATTTTCTAATTAAATGTGTTATTATCATAAAACTTTAAATTCATTATCATAAAATGTTGTTTTTTACTATCAAAAGAAAAGAAATTTAATCTAGCAAAGAAAACCAAAATTATTTTTCCTGTCTACGACTTTTTGGGACAACCCTCGTACATAATGTATATCACATGTATAAACCACTTATATAAACTGTATTTTTTTCAAATGTATTTGCCTTGCAGATTGTTCCATATGGCACGCGTTTAATGGCCATAGATATAAACTGGACAACACCTTCAGAACTTTTGAGTCTTCACAGGTAAACAATAATTAGTTACAAATCCATATTCCCAGAACCAACTTTAGTTACTCCAATTTAAAAATAAGAAGAGGGGGAGGGGGTTTCGTCCTACTAAGAAAGCTGTCCTTTATTAACAATTTCTGTGATTTGGTCGAAGAAATATTGAACTTTCCCCCGATAACAAGCTCTCATGAAAAAATGCGATATTTCAAAAATAAATAAATAAAATGAAAAAAAGGTCAAGAAATATATAAACACTTGGATTATCTTTTCGATAATAACATAAAAAGGAAAAGAAATAAATATACCAAAAATATTTTGTTTTGCTTTTTTCAAGTGCTTACAATCATTAAGACATTCTTCATAATAGCCATATCATCCCTCAGCAGTTTGTTTTAATCAAAAATTGCAATGGTGGTTACATTAAATAAATAAGCCAATAAATCATCTCTCTTTCCTTTTCCAGAATTTTTGTGCTTCACTTTTCCCTTCATCATACGTCATGGAAGTCGAATCTCAAGACGAAAATGACTGGGTCGTTACATTCAGTAAGTTTCGGATTCTTCTATTCAGTATCGTGAAAGGAAAAGACATACTGTCTATGATTTACTAAAAATTAGGATTATACACAGGGGTCAAATGAAAGACCTTCGTAAACAATATCAATATTCAATATTTTATGCAACTGAATCGAATCTTTGCCACTAGGAAGCAATATCATTTGATACAAAATTACAGAAATTCAAAATATCGTAAATCTTGAAATGTGTGAAAATGTAAAAAAATGTATTCTAGCGGCCACGCAATGTGGAGAGCCAAAAGAGTACTGGTTAAATGCCTATGACACCAATGACTCGGTCTCATTCACTTGGCTACAAAGCAAGGCAACAACAACCTACACTAACTGGCACTCTGACCAACCATCTAACCCATCAGAAGAATGCATAGTCTCATCTACACGATATCTAGGAGTGTGGGTTGACATTGCTTGCACTCAGCAAAGGCCTGTTGTTTGTGAACGAGACGTTTGAAAAAATAAGCTTCGTTGGAACTATGCTAAATTTGAACTAACCCACGGACGGTGCATTATATTACGTGTTAGTTCATGTATTTATTTATACATCTTTCTTTAAGATGATATTTACGTGCGGTCTACCAATACCTGACCAGGATTATATATACATATGTAGTTATAAGTAGACCTCATGTATGTCTATACGATATATCCCAGTGAACTTGAAATAAAAGATACCACAGAGTCTGACATATCTGTTTCATATTTGGATATTTTACTAGAAAAGACGTTAATGGTAATCTAACAACCAAGCTTTATGATAAACGATGCTCACTCCTCCATGGCACCTGATCCCACCTCTGATGCTTTAGAGGTCCGCGTTTGCTCTTTGTATTATTTAATGGACTTTTGAGCTTGAGTACTGTTCGCTATCTCCATACATCTCATCAAAAGTCAAAAAGATAATATTGATGCAAAGTCAAATCGGCCACAAAATATTTCGACGTGCAAACGCTTGATCTTGGTGACACAATGTCACGTGATGATTCTAATGAGTTTGCAAGTGAACGGCACGGTAATATAACTCAATAAAATGTGTCCGTTGTAGATATAGCACATTCAAACAAAATTTAGTAGTTCTTTTTTTTAATAATTTGATAATTTTTACAGCGCTGTAAGTTTTATCCGGAAACTTGTAACGAGGTGCTTTTATATCTATACGATCAGTATGTACTGGTCCCAGATGAGATAGCAGATAACAACTGTCTTTGTTTTTAAGACTCATTATTCTTATTGTATTTTAGAGGAACTGCATTAATTCTGCAAGTGGTATCCAATTTATATCCATAGCTCCCTTTCTAAGGAGGAAATTCTTCGAAATCATGTTATTTTCAAATATTTTTAATATTCCCAACAATCAGAATGAATTTGAATTACCATACCGATACTGGATTCCTAAACTTCATAAGAATCCTTACAAACATAGATACACAGCGAGTTCCAGTCTACCTAGCCTCTTTCTTTACTCCTCACTAAATTATTATCAGCAGTGAAGGAGAAACTTCAGGAGTACTGTACAACAATATATTCGAGAAGTGGTGTAAATCAGATGTGGATACTTAAAAATTCCTAGGAACTTTTAGAAAATTTGAAAATCACAAAATTTTACCAAAATCAATAACATAAAAAAAGTACGACTTTCAACACTTTATACAACCATTCCCCAAGATAAATTTTCACCTATTCTCACATAATCCGTCCATATGCGCTATTTGGATGTCGCAAGCAATTTAAATTACATTATTATTAAAATAATTGGTAAATTTTGTAGTGTTTTCGTTTGTGATACGTCTAGTTACCAAACCAACATCGTTAAGTGTTAATACACAGGTTAAAACTTCCCTGGGATCCAAGTATATAGTCTAATAAATGGCTTCTCGATCTGTCGCTTAGGCAAAAGGCAAAGTTTGGACCAATGAATAAAACAAAACAATTACATTTTATGCTAAAAAGCACGACTTTTACATATAACAATGCATGAATATATTGATTTTTCACACTTTTAGATATTTGTCTACAGTGAAATTTTTAAAAAATATAAAATAACTTTGTCGCTAAATTTCTGTAATTTACGTTATCAAAATCTTAGTATTTGTGTAAACAGCATAAAAAGGTATCTAAAAACATAAAATATCTACTAGAATATCCAACAAAGTCCATAAAATGCAATCAGAAACAAAGAAAAGTTATATGACAGAATACTTACAGAAACACATTGGTCTTTTAACCAGAGGTGAGTGGTTCGTTTTAAGGATGTATTTTACGTTATCAACGATACTTAGAGAATACAAGTAAAATTGTCTTTGCATATTAATTTATTTCTTCTTCCCGACCTACGAAACACGTAAAATATTAAAATGAACATTGATCTGTGTGACTACACATTTTACACCAATTAATCTGATAGAAAGTAATTTACGTTATGTAATTTACGTTATCAGTATAATACATATATGGTACCTATCTTGCAAATAAGACGTCGGGACAATACGGGACCATGCAGGAAACGTTATTGGTTTCTTCTCGAAAGCATCTTAACATCACCGAACTTCCGATGTAGATCTGATGCAGGAAGCGCCATCAGATAACGTAAATTACGTGTTACCTTTAACAACTTTCAAATAATTCCTCAAAGATGTATTTTTGGCGTGAATTTCAGTTGATTTTACAAACAAGGTGTACTTCTATTTATTTGTAGCAATATTTTACGCATAAATCTCTCTTCATTGATTACTTGATGAAGCAAAACATTCATAACGTAAATTACAGTAAAAATAACATAAATTAAATTTTTGGTTTGAATACCAGTAAAATTGTAATTTACGTTATCAATATATTTCTTTAAGAAAAACGAATTTAGAATTTTCACAGTCTCTTCCCAAATTAAATTTTAAAATCCTCTTCTCTTATGATTCATAAACATAAAAGTAAGTCGCACAGGAATTCAGCTTAAACATTTCTAGTAAGAAGGAACAGAATTATTTCAGTTGAAAAATAAGATTAAAGCAAATAAAATTTGTTAATTACAAATTAAGAGAAAAACACTGGCAAAAAACAAAATTTTCGAAGTATTTTTATTAGTACAGACATAGTGCTAAAAAAATCCAAGTGAAACTGAATATTCATTTTGGCAATAAAACGATTTTTGACGGGTTCATTTCGACGTAAGATAATAACGTAAATTACGAAGGTAAATACACTACCTATATTGCATATTGAATATTTTTGTCATCATGCATGGTTGAGTTCTGATATTTTGAAAAATAATTCTCCCATGATTTGTTTGCTAAAAAACATCGACTTCTCCCCCAAATAATGACTTTATTTTTTTAATGAAAGTTATGCTGCATGTGGACGGATTATGTGAGAATAGGTGTAAAGTCCAGGCTTTTTCATATAATTGACAACTGCTTTTTCGATACAAATGGAACACGTAAATTTATCTACCTAGTCATTGGTCATTTGCGAAATTATTTTGTTAAAACATTCTGATTGTACACACAAATACTCTGAAGTAGATATTAAAAAGATGCTTGAGTTTCTGATTGACAATAACAATGTAGTTTTGGAGATTAGGTCTTCCAACAATCTGTCGGAATTCCCATAGGTACCTATTGCGCCCCGTTATAAGCCGACCTATTTTTGTACTCATATGTAGCAGAATTTATTCAAACATTTATACTTGAGAAGATGAAAACACTTGCTGTGGCCTTCAACTCGACATTTAAATAAATCGACGATGTATTATCAATTAACAATAGTTACTTCCATTCATATGTCGACTCGATTATCAATTAACAATAGTTACTTCCATTCATATGTCGACTCGATATATCCCAGTGAACTTGAAATAAAAGAAACCACAGAGTCTGACACATCTGTTTTATACTTGGATATTTTACACGAAAAAAAGACGTTAATGGTAACCTAACAACAAAACTTTATGATAAGCGTGATGACTTCAACTTTTCTATCGTCAACTTCCCTTACTTATGTAGCAATATACCATTATCACCTACATATGGAGTTTATATCTCCCTGTTGATTTCGATACGCAAGATACGCAAGAGCGTGCTCCACGTAAGAACAATTTCTAAAAGGAGGCAAAGAATATCAACAGTCTCGTTTAAAGTCATTTTGCAAGTTCTGTGGTCGATACAATGACCTTGTCAGCAAATACAATCTACCATTAGTCGAATGCTGACTGGCGTTTTTCATACCAATTGTTAGGCTTTTATTTACACATTGAATTGTCTATTGGATTTTTCCGTTTGCCCGATCATAACAATGGGCACGCGGCGGGTGTGACCGGTCGACGGGGGATGCTTGCTCCTCTCTGGCACCTGGTCCTGCTCCCAATGTTTTTTTGAGTTCCGGTGTTTGCTCTGCTCCCGGTTTGTATTGTTTCAATGGACTATTGGGCTTCATTGCCGCTCTTTATCTCCGTATTTCATCTTACACACTCTTGTAAACATTTTTTTTGAAAAAAAATTACAAATAAATATCTGATGAAAAATGCGGGGGAAAATAAAATGTATTTATTACAACAATTTAGACTTAATATAAAAAATTTAAAATATTTTAGTATCTACATAACTTCTATTTATGTTATCAATAAGGATTTATTCTAAGAAACAATTACGAAAATTAATCTCTTTTCCCCATATGAACTTTCCAATACAACCACGAATACCGGAAGACCGGTGTAACGACGAAAAGTGACCCCCGTAGAATATTGACCAGGGATCATTTTTCTATGTAGAAATTTGACCCCCTGGTTAATATATCTACGTAGAAAAATGACCCACGTTTTCGTAGAAATTATGGCCTTTGGGCCATTTTTCTCCGTGTGGATTGTAGAAAAATGACAACGTAGAATAATGACCCAGTGTCATTTTTTGATAAAACATGGTTTTCTTACGAAATTTTTGTTAGGCAAATACATTAAAATTACACAGTCTTATGATATGAAGTGTTCATTTAAATAAAAAAAAGTTTAAATAACAAAATTAAAGTGTATTACTATACTTTACATAAATAATACACGGTGGTTTATCCCTATTAAGGATTAAAGGAAAACACAACAAGGCTATAGTGATGTTCTTTGACTATTAGAACAAGAATAGGCGCTTAATTTGATTTGTTTTATCATATTTAAGGCTCTGAAAAAATATCACACAGGACTGAATCAATATGCCTCTGACCTTCGATATCAGGGGCACAAAACGTAATTAGCTCAAAATCTTTACCAGTGTCTTTTGTCGTTTGCTAGTGTCAACAAAGTCTTCACAAAATGAAAATGAGACTTTTTCATAAAAAATTTGATAAACAGAGGTATTTAACACAAGTCTATAAAGGGTAGTATCATCTTCTTTCTCTCCCCACCTGTCTCCACACTCCTTTTCTCTCCCACTCGCTTCCTCTCCCCACTCCCATCTCTCTCTCTGCGCTCTCTCT